CCTTTAGGATGACCAAGAAGATTTGTGATAAGCAACTACTCTTCTTCCCCAAAGGATCTCTATCGAGGGGTTCTGGGGGAATTTTATCTTGCCACCTCCACCTGGTCGAAACATGTATATCAAAGCTGCTAGGTCATGGTGAGCAATTCTGCATTGCAGTATCATCAACATGCTGTTGACACTTGCCTCGGTGCTTCCTTACTCAACTATGATGCTGTGTTCTCTTTGCTTCCACCGTGCCCATCTGAGATAGGGCTTTGGAAGACAGACAGATGACTTACCTTCAATACAGATAAGATGGAGCTGACAATGGTGGGTAGGAAAATATATCTTGAGGGAATGACAAAGGCTATAATTACTACTGCCTCAGTTTAGAGGCCTTAGCAGATTCCCCAAAAACAGTTCCCAGTGTTTATCATCTCTGGCTGGCCAGAGACTGCAGACCTTGTCACAGTACACAGGCCTTTCTTACCTCTCGGCTGAACAACAGCAATGTGCTCTATTCAGAGTTCCCAAAGGAGACCACTCAGGAGCTTCATTTAAATGATGAACATAGACATCCATCCTTTCTCAGAGCAGGACGATATGAGCATATAGCATTTGTGATTCATGTTCTATGCCGGGGTGGCCAACCTGTGGCTCCGGAGTGCATGCGGCTCTTCAGAAGTTTATATGCGGCTCCTTGCACAGGTGGTGACTCCGGGGCTGGAGCTACAGGCGCCAATTTTCCACTGCTCAACCCCAGGCCCTGCCCCCACTCCACCCCTTGCCCCAAGGCCACTGCCCCTACCCCTGAGCCTGCTGCATCCTTGCTCCTCCTCCCTCCATCCCAGAGCCTCATGTACACTGCAGAACAGCTGATCACGGCAGGCAGGAGGCATGAAGAGGGAGGTGGAGGTGCTGATCGGTAGGGCTACCAGCAGGCAGGAGGTGCTGGGAGTGGGAGCTGCTGATGTATTATTGAGGCTCTTTGGCAACACACATAGGTAAATTCGGGCTCCTTCTCAGGCTCAGGTTGGCCATCCCTGGTCTATGCTATCTCCTAATATGCTTCCAAGTGCAATTCATGAGCTTCATCCTGACTGTGCTTAGCTCTAAGACTGGCTCTCCTTCTATACACCACCAGGACATTAGCCATCGAACAGAATACTCTTGCTGTTCATCCTCAGGGCTGAATGCCAGGGCAGATGAGCCTTCCCAATGGAGTGGACATAGCTGTGAAAGTTGCCTCCTCTGGTGTGCCCATCACAGCCCACATCTGGCCACTGCCAGGACATGAGGCAAGATAGTTTAAAAATAAAATAACTGCAGCGTTCTCAGCTCGGTGAGCTTTACTGGCCAGCGTGTGATTTAGGATAGAGTCAATTTATTAGCTTTTCAGGGATGATGTGTTTGTGCTTTAATTTAATGGTGCACAAATAGGGAGCGATGGAGAGGCAGCCCTTACAAATCCCCGTAATAAATGAGCATGTGTGAATGAAGTAGTAAGAGCTAGATTTATGCTGCTGCATTTCATATTCAAAATAAGTACCCTAAACTTGCAGGATTCTGGATCAACAATGTAGGTTTGTTTAAAAAAAAAAAATCACGTATGCTGGGAGGCCAACCAACAAATTGAAATAATAAGACAATAGAAAAAACAAAACAGTCTTAGTTAAAGAAAGCAAGCATCCCAATACAGCAATATTCTACAGCAGTAAGAAGAAAATCTTTACTGCCTTATGTGATGCACTGCAAAAAGCAAACAGATCATAGTGATTTTAAATTTCTAGGAGCAGACAAAGAATGGGAGGTCACGGTTCAGCCACAGAGATGTGAACAACAGTAAAATCAGTTTCAGTGCCTATAAGCGGCTTTTCAATTTTCTGGAAATACACATGATCTGTTTACGACGTTGCACTCTCTGATTTTATAAAAATATGCTAATGAGTGTGAATATAATGTAACTGGAATATGCTTCATGCAAGGGGTCTCTTGTAAGGTATCATTACAAAGCTTATAATCTACTGAGTGTGGTCATCCTATTTGTATAAATGTATCACTCTTGTATCTGAAACTAGAAATACGAAATATAACTCTGAGGTCCTATTGTAGTTCTGCAAAGTGTGGGCCATTAATGGTGGTTTGGAATCTTAATGGCTCCCATTAACCAGGGCAACTGACTGTAGAGGGCTCTGTTTTACTTGTAAGTCTTCCTGTATACCTGTGTGCTGGCAAGTGGGTAATGAAGTCTTAGAGTGACATGTGATCATGTCACCTGAACTGGAATCCATCTTTAACCTGATGCTTTTCCATTGAGGAGGGGTGGGAACCCAGAGGGACAAAGGATTCCCACCTTGTGCAAAAGATATATATAAGTGGGTGGAACAGAACAAATGGAGGGCCATCATGAGAAATCCCCTAACTACCACCTGAGCTGGAACAAGGGCTGTACCACGGGAAAGGATTGTGCCCAGAGTAGGAAGGCGTCCAGTATGTGAAAGAAATTTATTGAAATATCTCTGAGGGTGAAATTTTATCTACATTCAGTTTTATTACTGTACTAGGCTTAGACTTGCGTGTTTTATTTTATTTTGCTTGGTAATTCACTTTGTTTTGTCTGCTATTTGGAACCACTTAACTCCTACTTTCTGTATTTAATAAAATCACTTTTTACATATTAATTAACCCAGAGTATGTATTAATACCGGGGGGTGCAAACAGCTGTACATCTCTCTCTATCAGTGTTATAGAGGGCGAACAATTTAGGAGTTTACCCTGTATAAGCTTTATACAGAGTAAAATGGATTTATTTGGGGTTTGGAGCCCATTGGGAGTTGGGCATCTGAGTGTTAAAGACAGGGACATTTTTTAAGTTGCTTTCAGTTAAGTCGGCAGCTTTGGGGCACGTGGTTCAGACCCTGGGTCTGTGTTGGAGCAGAGGGGTGTGCCTGGCTCAACAAGACAGGCTGCTGAAGTCCCAGGCTGGCAGGGAAAGCGGGGCAGAAGTAGTCTTGGCACATCAGATGGCAGTCCCAAGAGGGTTTCTGTGTTCCAACCCGCCACACTGTTCTAAGACACTTACCTCTGGAATATGGGAAGGCACATGCATGGATTGGCTGGAAGAACTAATGAATGAGTTTACCATCTCATCTCCACTGCACAAGCAACTCAAGTGACATTGTGCAACAGAGCCATGAGGGACAGAGCCATCATGTAGCCTCAAACACATTAAAAAGCACTTACTGAAACCAAAAAAGAATGCAAAAAGAATAAAACCTATGAAATGCCACAGGGAAAAGTGTTCCTTCTAACAGGCTCGGAAGAAATGTTGAATATGAAGTGATTTGAAGAGAGACACAAACTTTTGAAAGAGCAATACCAAAAGGCTCTGTATAAATCCTGAAGCTGTCCCCCCACAACCTCACAGGACTCTGGGACCCCCTCTCTCTTGCTCCAGAACTGTGTGGGTAACACTCCAGACTGTTCCTGTAGCAGCTGTATTGATTTAGTTTGGGACTACTGCATAAAAGCGGTTGGACCATGTCTTGTCTCTGGCTCTGCAACCCAGGAACACGGAGCAAGTGCTAAAGCTCGGGAAAAAGGGTATTTACACCCCTTAACTGGCACTGAATCCAAGCAGAGGCCTCAGTTGCAAGAACACCTTCCAGATCAGGAGGGAACATTGGTCTGAAATTCATCCAACACACTTTACAATTCTGCATTTGCCACTTGAAACTTCTGGGGCAAACAAGAATGGAAAAGGCTGGAGTCACTTTGGAAAGACAATGTTTCCAGCCTTCAGAACTAAAATGATTAGCATCTGCCCTTTGCTGAATGTAAAGTAAGATTCATGGGCAGTGGGGAGGATGAATTTGAAAGCTTTTAAAATAGTTTTAAAGCAACAGAGTGAAATGCTGAACACGGACTATTCAAATTAACTAATCTAGTTTATGCTTGCTCTTCACTGTACTATATACTACTGTAGGGTACATAATGGTTTGAGATTGTTTTTTAATCACTTTATCTCTGATAAAAGTTTATTGTATTATACCTGGTCATAAAAGTAACATTATGAAAGCCAATCAACTTAAGGCTAAAAGTTCTTTAGTACCACATACAGAGGTTAGGGTATGGTTGGCAATAAAAAGGCAGAGAGGTGGATGGTGAATAGGTTTCTAACATCAGGCAGTTTTTCAACATAGAGAGATAATGATGTTTCTGACACAAGAGGTCTGGAAGAGTATCAGAAATGGCAGATAAAACCCAAAACATACTGTACGTAAATGAGGACATTGATTGACGTACATTCTGGGATAAAAGAATGGAGTGCTCTTTAATAGAAGCAAACACAATGATTGGAAAATGATAAATTAAGATGTTATAGGTTGAAGAAATAATTCCAAAATGAATATTTGAGCTAGTATGTGGCCTTTGTACAAGGGCTTTGTATGAAAAGCACATTGTAAAAAAAAAAATAGACAGTGATGCAAAAAAGATAGCATTCCATTCCATGACAGTATCTGACCTGGACCACAGTATAGTAATGAAATCTGAATACTACCAATTTAAAGTAAATTTGCATAAATGTGTAAATAAAAAAGCAATAAGGTTCACAATATCCAGACCAACTATACCAAAAACGAGTACAGAGGATTCCAACCAAGTTCAACGATTAAGGGGGAGAAGAGCCAAAGACAAATCTGCTACAAATAATTTCTAAGTTGATTTTTTTTAAAAAAGCCTAATACCAAAACAGGGCCAGATTCTTAACTGGTATAAACTGATGTAGCTCCACTTTACTCAAATGAGTTAACCCAATTTCCCCATTCAACAAACAAGAATATTCTACTCGTTTTGATTTATTTTTATGGCTACAGTTGTTATGAAATGCATAGTGCTTCACCATCCTGAGATCTATTCAGTAAACTACAAGAACTTTTAAAGTGCAGTTACACTACTCACTTACTACAGATTACAAACGTATTTGATTCCACATGATGCACCTGTTAAACATTTACCTTTCGTACTGAAGCCAACCGATTCATCATTAAAGATTCTTCTCTGTCATCATCATCATCCAAGTCTAGCATGGGCATACTAAAACTATCTATAATACTGCAGCACCTGGAGTTTTCATCCCTTGGATCAAAAGGGTCTACAATTATTGGTTCAGTTCCTTTGATTTCACATCGGCAGAAAGGACAGCCCTGACCATCGGATTCCTGCACAAAAACAAAAGTATTCTTTTAGATAGAGGGTAATATTCTTGTTTATGCTAAGGTCCCTTTACCGGATTCTGGCAACGTGTAAAGAGGTCTTGGTGCAAATCAGAAACAGGTCCACCGATATTTTACTGGACAAAGTAATTTATTCCACTAGTGGCCTGAATTTTATTTTTATATATTTATAAATATAATATATTATTTATATAAACCTATATATTATATATATTAACATGGTCATTATTGCAAATTAGTTTTTTTTTAAAGTTGACTTTTAAATAAAATAATCAAAACATAATTCTTTAAAATGTTAGCTTAAAACCACCCAAATGCCAAATATAACACTTTGCCTTTTAGGCTTACATTTCAATGCTCATTCACAGATAGACATCAGAAAATCCAAAACCATAGTTCTCGGGATGTTTGACTGCATTGTTAACAAACACATGAACAGAAGTGTTTGTTAGTGCTGCACGAAATTAGGTCAAGAGCTTTTCATACACGTGATTTTGTGTGTCCGTCATCAAAATCTTTGATAAAACATCTAAGAAATGCCAAGGTAGTATGCCAAGTGGCTTTCAAAAAGCCAAATTCGGTTTGCCTAGTAATCCCACAGACTTCATTGGTGAGTAAAGCAAGGAAGATTTGGCCCTTTAACTATATTTTAAGTTCTAATGGACAAGATCACATCTTACAGAGAAGCAGTAAAAGTAACTACAAAAAAAAAATTGCTTTTGACTGGCACGATGCATATGTGACCACTACTGCGTTGTATTAATTTAGATCTGCATCTGAACTGTAGAAGTCAAAACTAATTTGATTTAAATTCAGAAATTATGTCAAGGTTTCAGAGCTTCCTGTCTATAATTTTGACACCTTTTATTTGTAATGTTAGATGCAGCGTTGGCGAAAGAGCGATAAGGGCATCAGTATTAACTCACAGTTTACAAAAAATTATCCTGAAATTTCAAGCAAGCTCAATTCAATTCTTAAGGATGAAAGAACAGACCTTATTTTATCTGGCAATACTTTACTGTAGCCTATAGTCTGTCATCATTAGTACCCTGACGAATGCTTTACAGTCTATCAGTGTACCACCCCTTAAGGCAAGAAAACTAGAGTAGCTGCTTCATGTCTGCAGTAACTTTTCCCCCAAGCGCTTCCACTTACAAGCTTCGTCCTGAATTTCACTTCTGTATCTGAAGATCCAATCCATTAATTACTAACTATGGGGAGCAGGCATGTTACTCACCAACTTAGCAGAGTTATGTAAAGCAAGCCTGTATATTTATCCTTTAATGCTAGATAAATAAAATAAATAAAAGACTTTCATCCTTGGCCTATTTTTTGAGATAGTATCCCCCACAGCTCTTGATTTACTGGGCTGACATCAGTACTAGGGCCCAAAACCCTAACAAATTGCTTAAATCAGGGGTCTCAAACTCAAATGACCACAAGGGCCACGTGAGGACTAGTACATTGGCCCGAGGGCACACCATTGACCACCACCCCCTGCTGTCCTGACCCCGCCCCCACCCCACCCCTTCTGTGATGCCCCGCCCTGCCCCCCCCTTCCCACTCCTTCCTTGCCCCCATTCCAACCCCTTCCTGAAATCCGCACCCCAACTCTGCTCCCTCCGTGCCACCAGGGGGTACAGAAGGGGTGCGTGGTGTGTTAGGGGGCTCAGGGCAGGGGTGCAGGGTGGGTCAGGATGCAGGAGGGGTGTGGGGTACAGCAGGGGGCTCAGCTGCAGGAGAGGTTCAGGGGCGGGTCAGGCCTGGCGCGCACCAGGGACAGGGCAGGCTCCTTGCCTGCCTGCCCTGCACCTGGGCCGCTCCGGGAAGCGGCCAGTACCTGGGGTAGGGGCTGGGGCCACAGGGGTCTGTGTGTTGCCTTGGCCACCCCTCCAGGTACCTCCCCCAAAGCTCCCATTGGCTGGGAACAGGGAACTGCAGCCAATAGGAGCTTCGGGGGAGGTACCTGGAAAAGCAGCCAGGGCAACACACAGACCCCTGTGCCCCCTCCCCCAGGTCCCGGCCACTTCCCGGAGCGGCACGGGGGCAGGGAGGGAGCCTGCCCTGCCCCTGGTGCGTGCCGGGCCGGAGCCGCTCTAGGTAAATGCTGGGGGGAGCGAGGGTGCCACAGGGAGCTGGCGGGCCACAGAAAATACACTAGGGCCACATGCGGCCTGCAGGATTTTGAGACCCCTGGTTTAAACCTAACTTCATTTCAGGGGAATCTCTTTTGTGGTTGGATCCATCATGTATTTCTTTTACTTTTCTAGTCAACTAAATGTTGCAGAGCAGACCCCCCCGCAAAAACAAAGTTTAATTACTACTCTGTTTTCTTTGCTACCTACCAATGTCAGCAGTTTGCACAGTGGACTGTAGACACACTATGTGCCTCACCTAGTCAGGGGATGCTTCCGGTCAAACTAGTTTATCTTTGCCAAGCTAACTAAACAGTACAAAGTGTCAATATTTTTCATGTACAAAACTGCACATGACCGTTGTGATGCTGAATATGAGCAAAGATTTTTTATGAAAACTTTTAATATTAATATACTGTACAAAGTAATACACGCTCATAGCATTTACAAATTCAGTGTACAAACCCCTATTCAGGAAGGTATTTAAACACCTACCTTCAAGCACAGGGAGTTCTCCTATTGAAATCAATGGCCCTACTCATGTACTTGAAGTTCAGGGTGTCCTTACATATCTTCCTGAACAGGGTCCCTAGAGACCCTAAAATTGAACATATTTCTGACTGCAATCAGTAAGTTATACCAGAAAATTTTTTACATAAATGGTAATACCAGGAGACACAAGAAATAATCAGCTAAGGAAACTGCCTTGAAATATGTAGCCTTTCACCTTCAGAACATTGGTTTCAATCGAATCCAATTTGTGTTGAATGTAAATTGTCATCTAAGTACCACTGGGCTGCCTTTGTGAAATAAGTTGAACTAATTACTTCTTATAGCACTTGTGGCCATATCACAAAAGAAACCATCACAATTGTCATCATTGTTGAAAGTCTGAGAAGAGACACCATGAACTGTATGGACGTACAGTGGTTACCATTTTAAAGTCAACAGCAATATCTTCCTAGGGCTATTTTCCCTTGCACAGTTATATCATAGAAGTAGCCCTACAGAACAGGGTTAGTGCATGCTAAAATGGCAGCACTAGGAGGCTTCTATTTATGCTGCTTGTACTGTACTTGGCTTGTCAGAGAATTCCATTTTCCATGACTGCCTGTCTGCCCTCAACTTTTCCAAAATATTAACTCATGTCTAGTAACACAAAAATAAAATTACCATCAGCTGAGCTCTGCATGCTAAAACAGTAAATGAAACCAAGAAGCGATATCTACAGGCATACACACGTCAAAATATACCTACCCATGCATATACATGTACATAGCTATGTTATTGCAAAAACCAAATATGCAGCTCCCATAATCTGCATAAGTTTAGACATGATGCAGAATAATGCAATTTTCTATACATATACACTCCTAACAGAACAGATTATTACAGTTCAGAAAAAATAGTTTTCTGGGGGGAAAGAATTGTTAATGACGCTCTTACTGTCTGTGTAATGTAAAAGTAATAAGCTAAATTAAAGATTCCTAAATAAAAGACTGTTGCAAACTGACTTCCACTGTATCATGTTTAGCATTCTATGAAGATTTGAAGTTGCTTATTCAATTTATTAAATAACACAGATGTTTCACTGAGAGGCAAAAAAGTATTGGAAATCTCTCCTGAGGCATGTCTAATGAGCCATTATGACAGCAATTAAACAATAACCCACTGGCAGCCTGTAACAACTGACATTGCTACAGTATGTTTCTTCATCTTCTCATTAATTATACAGGAGTTAAATCTGCAATGAAGTTTGATTAAATTGAAAATGTAATTGCTAATGGAAGACAAACCCAACGCTCATTTTTTCATTAAGAGTTGGCTTGCTAATGATTACACTTTAGATGGGAATCTGAAAAAGATTTCTGATCAGGTTTTGAGCCAGAAGGAGCTCCACTGAAGTTAGTGGAGGTATGCTGGCATAAAACCAATGAAAATGAGATAAGAATCAGGGCCTCTATTTCTATTCTTCTTATTCATTATTTGTATTACAGCTGCACCCCGAGATTGGCATCTCATTGTGGTACACCGTGTACAAACACATTAAGTAACAGCAAGGCAGAGGCAGAGGAAAGGTGAGGCAACTTGCCCAAAGTAGCAATACTGAAAAGATTCATTTTCAAAAGAAGCACCAGGAGAAATCCTAAAGCTCCGATCCGTAATGAGGAATAACCTCTCTGCATTTTTAAGGGGTTTGCAAACTGCTCTCTCTGCAATTTTTTAAATCATCCTGCTTGTTAAATATGCTGAACTAAAGGCGCCTATGCTCTTTTTCCCCAGAACTGATCTAGCGTGGGCAGGAGCCGGACACACCCCCCCGAATTGTGCCACCACAAGCGCTTTCCAGCACACTCACTTCTGTAAGTGAGAGGATAATTTCACAGCTGGCCGACAACTGTAATAAAAAGCTGTGGAGGTGGGTTTCTGTGATGCTGGCACTATCCACTTGGAAGTGGACCGAGATCATGAACTCATTTTTCACAGGCCAATCACTATCGGAAGGTGAATATGTTATTACTCTCATGAGTGCAATCTGAACCAGTGACCTAGTGGTTAAAAACACTCAAACACATTTTGTCCCCTCGTTCAAGTGAGCTGATCACTAGGGAACACTATAAAGACCTCATGCATCACAAATCCCTGTATAGTCAATCATATAACTCCCAGCTGCTGCCTGCCCTCACCTTTCCCTCAGCTCACTTCATAAAGCAATCCATGTGGTTGAGTGGGCAACCAGGGTCCCAGCATTCATCTCCTCACTAGGCCCTGATCTGGCAAAAGGTTTCCAACAGCAGCAATCAACAAATGCAGCCACCAGGCCACTCAGCTCAGATGCTAAGGATTCCTGTATTAGCTTTCCCAGGTGCAAGAATTAAGCCCATAAATGTTACTGAGTTTACCATTTTAAAAGCGTATCGCTGGTTGTGACTTTACTAAACGCTAGAGAAGGATGAGGTGAATGGTCAAGACATACTGAAAACAGCAAGAGGAATAATAAAGCAATCCATCCTTATTGTCTGCTGATTGAATTATGACTGTACCTGCCATGCTGTAAGACAAGAAGTGCACATGAGATGTCCACAAGGCTCAATCTTCACATCTTTATCATTCTCTGCACAGATTTTACACAGCTGGAAAGTGGAACCCATTTCACAGTACAATTCGTATTGTTCCTGGAACAAGAGAAAGTCAAGGTCAGTATCACTAGTATGATCAGTAAACAATGAAATATGCTTACATTCTACTTATGGCAAGCACACGATACTGAACTTCCCATGTGGCTTACCTTTCTTAGCAGTACACAGCACTACTGTAACATCTATCTGACAGCAAAATGGAGGTTTCACACAATCCTATTTTTTTTGCTTCTTAAAAAATACAATCTGTTCTTCTAATGGCATTTCTATAAACATTATCAGTAAAACTTGTGTTTCTAAACTCTCTCACTATTATAAATATATTCAAATTATAAAAAAAAGAAACATTTATTAACTCCATCATCAACTTTTAGAACAAGTTACTTTGGAAAATTTAACAGGGTGGGGGGGAGAAAAATCTAATAAGTATCATTAATAAAATCAGAAACATGAAAAACCACTGGATTGCACAGCTCTGTTCCTGGCTCTCAGATATTACATGTGTAAGTAGCTTTGAGGTTGCTTTAACTCCATCAATCCACAGCTTGGAGTTTGGGAAACTGTGACCTGTAATGGAATCAGTAAATACAGGAGGCTGTGCCTTTCTCAACGGTCATTTCAATGCCAAGGAAAGAATACTGCCTTTCTTGTTTGTAATTTAGAAGAGGAAAATGAACAAGGGTCTGGAGGTCACAGGGGAGAGGATGAACAGGAGGTAAATTATGAGTCACAGTAACAGTGATTTTTATATATTTTATTTTTAGTGTGAACCTAATGCTGGTGCAAACTCCTAGACTGACAGCTGCAAGAAGTCAATTCCTTTATTTATCCAGAGAACAGATACAGTATGGTCAATGAAACATGAGCTTCCTCAATCTGCCCTCACGTGCCTCAACACACATACAGAGAGACCACCCTTGAGCATAACAAGAAAAGCTCATTCTTCACATCTCATTCAGTCCTTAGCCTCCCCATAGGAGTGCCAACATGGGTGCCATTTGGTTGTTGGTGGTTATGGTGATGTGCTCACCATCTATTTGGGAATGGTGACTGAACTTCATTTCTTGTATGCTACTGAACAATAACTGATGGCACAGACTCTCTGAATGGCATTTACCTCATCCCATCCCACCTGTCTATTTCAATTGGAAGCTCTTGGGGGAAGGGTCTCTTTCTAGCACTGTGTATTTGTTCAGTAATCATCATAATGGGGCCCTGATCCCAGTAGAGGCCACTACAAGCTATTGTAATACCAGTAACTCACTTACCATGAAGCCATAAACTTATTTGGATAACGAGCATGCCAATTTTATGGCTGTGTGTGTGTCTGGAAGTATTATGTATGCTCGCTGTGCTGTTGGGGCAGGCAGCCAACTGTAACAAACTGTAAACTGATGACTTGGGCAAGTGTGTGTAGTTTGGGAGATTTTTGCTGATTTGTGCAGGTGGCGAATGAAAGGTGTGTGCTGAGGTGAGGGGCTACATGTATTTGGTGTTACTGTGTGTGTGGTTGTGTTCATTTGTGTCTGGGGAGGGTTGTGCTTGGGGAGTTTGTGTTGATTTGTCGTGGTAGCAAATGAGCGGTGTGTGCTGCAGTGAGGGAGTGTGTGTGTGTGTGTGTGTGTTTGGGGTCACTGTGTGTGTTAGTTCAGGTGATTTGTATCTTCAGATTGTGCTGGGAGAGTGTTGATTGCCCTGGGAGGTTTCTGTTCAGTTGTGCAGGTGGCGAATGAGAGGTGTGTGCTGCAGTAAGGGGCTATTGTGGGTCCTGGTTGTGTTGATTTGTGCAGGTGGCAAATAAAGGGGCACGCTGCAGTGGGGGGCTACTGTGTGGGGGTTATGCTGGTTTGTGTCTTGGGGTTGTGCTGGGGAATTCTGTGTTGATTTGTGCAGGTGGGGAATGTGGGGTGTGCACTGTGGTTAGGGGCTACGTTTTTATATATATATATATATATATATATGGAGGTATGTTGTGCGGTTCTGTGGGTGGTTTTGGAAAACTATGGCCGTTGGGCCAAGGAATCCATCCTTTGTGCAGTCTCGCTCATACAACCAATGCAACTGTTGCGTGTAAATTGGCTGTAAAGTGAGCATGGTGATTGGTTGAATTACCTCTGATATCACATTGGTCTAGGACTCTTGGCATGGCATAGATACATGCCTTACTGCAGCTGTTCACAACCCGGGTGTAATACTTAAGGTCAAAGTGACTGTGAAATTAAAAACTGTATGATAACAGACCACAAAGCCCACTGATGATTAAACCTGGTGATATGCTGAACAAAACACTCTCAGCCATGCTGGTAGCAGTTTCCATCGCTTCACACTGACTCAACGGACATTCTATCTTCAGAGTGATAAAACAGACAAGATAAGACAACCCTGAAATCTTTATATATAATAGATGAAAAACAGATGTAGCAAAAGCTTCCAGAACTGAGAAAGGGTTTGAAGGTTGGCAGGCAAATTATTTATACTGTGATACAGTTTTTAATACTGAGAAAAGGAGGTACACAAGTTTAGGAGCAATGGAATAAATTAAAGACCCAAGTCAGATGGCAATAGCAGATGGAATAAGGTAGTGAGAAAAAGTAAAGAGCGTGCCCCAGACTCTCAGCTGCAGCCAGTATACACCAAGCACAGTTGTGGTGCTTCCCCACAGATGAGCCATGAGCAGCAACTTGCTCCTGGAGCCAGTTCTAAATCACCTGTGTCATAGTTTCTAGGAACCCCAGTGTCGCTCTCAACTATACCAGTTAGGTATGCTTGAAGGGATCCCATTAGCAGCAGCAGCAGCATTCCAACCACATCCCCAGTACAGTACTGGAGAAGGTGACTGGGAGGGTTCTAGAATAGAGCCAGCTATGCTGGATTTATGCCACCTCGGGATTCCCTCATACCAGGGGAATCAGCAGCAGTCAGTTAAACCAGCTCTCCAGCTGCCAGAGCCGAGCAATGAGCTAGAATAAGAGGTAAGGATTTGTCCTTTTAACTTCACTGACCTTTGGAGAAGGGAGGAACTATGCAGAAGAGCAGTAGGGGGTTCTTAATCAAAAAGGGCAAGAATTTTGGGCCAGGTGGCCTTTTCCCGCACATAAAAACATCTGCATAGCCCTAGTCTGTATTATTTCAACATTAGCATAAACAGGAGAAGGAGGGTGTCAGCCTTCTGGAAGTTTCCACACAATCATTTTAGATAGTCTCCTACTCAGGGATAGACATTTTAATAATGAGCTCCCACTAATCCAGTGTGTTGCAAACAACATTTTTCTTCCTGTAAATTCTGTAAACGTGGTATGCAAACGGCATTTAGAACTGCCAAAGACCTAACAGGTCATCTGGGCCTTCCTCTGCAGCCAACAGAAGAATATTTCATCAAACACTGTATAAAGTTGTGTCTGGTCAATATAAAAGCTTTCCAGCACTTCCACAAGTTCCCCGGAGACTATCCCAAAGTTTATAGAAGTTGCTGTCAGGAAGATTCTCCTAATAACTAGCCTATAATCTTCCTTTCCTTCTAATTGTGTACCATGGTACAAAGGGGTACCATTCCCTTTCCTCTAGTTTCAAATATCTGCAGACTGGTGTCATGCCAATGCCTATCCAAACTATACATATATTCAGGTATTAAGTTTCCCAAATATGCCATTCCCTCCAGCCTTTTAATAATGTGTTCCTTTCCCCTGAATTCCCTCCAGTTTGTATAGCACATAAGGGAAAGAAGACACACACTAGGAAATGGTAACCTTCTGATAATACCCCATGTATTTTCTTTCTGCAAGCTCTATACAGTTGGATATTCAGACTTCAAAGCGACTTCCAAGCCTTACTTTATTTCCCTGTTCCCACATCACTATTACAAAATATTAAACTTCTTAACCCTTCAGCACACAAAGAAAATGTTAGCAGCTGTGAAAATATTTCCCCCTCCCAAAACATGGTTAAAATCAAAAGAGACATCTGCATTACCATCATCTTTAGATTTTAAGACTTGCCATCCAGTTCTTTCTCAAACCCCTTTTTTGTCAATCACAATCTCAATAATTTTTCTCTAATATTTTAATAAAAAAACATATCACTGCTGGATAGGGCACCAAGCAAATAAGGAACAGAATTTATAACATGCAACATACCTGTGTAACTTTTATGTGATCATGTGGAGTAGGTTCATTTAATCCTGTCAGATCAGGATTATAACTTCGTCCATCTGGGTATAGATAGCTGAATTACACAAATTATTATTAAGATTTATATTCCCACAACTTTCATTGTTAAAGTAAATTATGAAATTATGGTTAGCCAATAAGGGAAACATCAGATATTAATTAAAATGTATCTTATTTCTCCTGAGCCATATTTCCCAATTTCTTTTAACAATTGGCAATTGGTTAAACAGAACTTAATTATACTAAAATTATCCTTGGCACTATCTGAGGTCATCTTGCAACAGAATATGCTTAGTTGGGCCCACATACCCACACAGAGTCGCAGTGATCTCAAAACCATCTGCATGGTTCTAGTTGCTCAGTGTGATGCATGTAGCTGAGAATTCAGCGCAATGGAAAACAAATGACAGCAAGGGAAGAAAATTGTATCTATGTTTATATTTAAGTAAATAATGAAAATAAACTATATTTAGAATCCATGGGCTTAAAACAAGAATAGCTAGGGATATTAAAATAGTAGGGTAAGGAAGAAAACTATTTTGATGTTAGTTAAGGTTCAGCTGAGTTTTATACCGAAAGCAGGGATTCAATCTTATTGAAAGTTACATTTTATAGGGACACGAGTTATTTAAACACACACACACACACACACGCACCCCCCTTTAAAAATCAGTTTAATCTCATCTGGAACCATATATTAAAATGGATAAATCATAATGATATGGTTATTGTATGGTCCCACTAAAGGGCAGACTCAAGGTTGCCTGGGTTTCTCGACTAGGTATTTCCATACCTTAACATGTCTGGGTTTAAAACACTTCGATTTGGGATAATTACAACATTCCTGTAATGCACTCACCCTAAATTACTGATATGTACTCTCAACCTTAACTATTTTTCTGTACTTCTTGTCTAGGAATGTTATAGGAGCAACAATAAAACATCTTCTGTTTTACAAGACAGGAATCCTGATACTTTGTTCAGATAAAACCACTTAGCATTCAAAATTTTAAATGATACTTTTAGGAATAGAATTAATTGGCTGAAGTAGAGCAGTAATCTCTGATTTACTTTTAAAAGTAATCCCAAAGTGTAAAAACACAAACACACACTCCCCCCCCTCAAGAGTGATACAGATGCCTATTTGTGGCACTCGCCACAAAGAACCAACGTCCTCTTAGAAAAGTTACAATTTTGCACAGAACTTTTAAATTCTTGAGACCTTCATAAAAAGATCAAAGTTCTCAGGGAAAATCCCAGAAAACCTGAAGTTTGGTGCGCACGTGCACGTGCGTACACACACACACACACACACACAAATAAAATATTAAAAATCTGGGACATTTTTGGCCTATAAAGCATAGGCAAAGCTATCAAATATATTTAATATCCATTGTCCAGTATTACACAGGAGCAATTAGCAGAACTAATTGCATGATCAGCTTCTGCACTTATGACTTTTATATTAAACAAAATTTAAATTATAACTCCCCAATCTCATTTTCCCCTGGAATTTATCTGCCATAAAATATGGTCAACTTCGGTTAACTGAATTATCTTGAAGTGTTTTATAGATGAATAAAAGTAATAGTCATGGATTTCCAAACGACTACAAAACAGCCATATCATCTACTACTTCTGATGCTTTAAATTATGAATTAGCAAAGCAATACATCAATATTTTATAAAATGAAAAAGTTATCATTTGTACTCACAATCCCTCCCGGCTGCCATCAATTAGAGCTTGAAATAAAGGCTTATTGTGAGGTATAGTCTGCAAAATGTTTCCATCACCAGTTACGTATCCAATGGCCCACTGCCCCAGTCGAGTGCAACTCAGTCTGAAAATGTAGCTGGAGGACAATGAGTTACAAAGTCAATTCTAATAAAAATGCTTGGCAAAACAAATGGAGAGGAAAGGTGGTGGTTAAGGCACTGGATTGAGACTCTGGAGATCTGGACGGAGTTTCCACCTCTGCCACAGACTTCCTATGCGACCTTGGGTAAATCATATGAACTTGTCTGTGCTCAGTTTCCCACATGTAAAATTGGGAGGATAATGGTTCCCTTACACTACTTATGTATGTTGTCTACTTAGGCCCCAATCCTGTAAAATCTTATATATGTTAACTTTACAACTGAATATTCCCATTATATAACGTTATGTGTACACTTAGGTCTTTTTTAGGATCAGGGCATTACTTTGCCAGCTATTCATGGCAAGGATCATCTCCTATTTGTAAATAAGGGCCTAATGTGATTACTGATCTCACTTGGGTTCAGTAGACACTACTGAAATACAAATAATAAATTATATAAAATTACAAGAACATTTTGTATGTATAAGAGCTGTAAAAAATATAAGATATCATTGATCTTTCAGATAAACGAATGGAAGTTCTTTTGTATTAACAGTTGGATTTTTCACTTTCTGAATTTTATGCAGGATTGTGTGTCTGTTAACAAAAAAGCATTTGCAAAATCTGTAATTTTCAAAAAGGATTTTTTTTAATTTTGGAAAAATACCATTATTAATATGTAAGTTAATTCAAAACAGGCAATACAGACAACCAAAACACAAATCTTAAAAAACAAAAAAGAATAAAAAAAGTCACAGAGCAACCTAATGGAAAAATTTTTTAAGGAAGAGAAAATTAAGGGGAAAATACAGTTAATGAAAAATTCCTTAATAAAAAAGGCCTAATTTGATTTAAAATTCACTTAAAAAAATCCTTATCAGCCCCAATGTTTATATAGCTTATTTTACTCTGAAGTACTGTACTCAAAAGAGCTTCTCTGATAACATACATACAGCATGACTGAAATTCAGCCACTTTTGTGTAGAACAGGTGGCAGCCAGGAGTAAAAACCATGCACAGCACATTGCACAATAGAAGAGAAAGGAAAATTATAGGCAAGAATGCGGGAGCAAATTCTTGCTCTTATTAAAAATTATGGAATCTTCAATGTCAGACATCACCTCAGGTTTTTAATTGCTCAAACAGGAAATCCAGCCACAGAAAGGTGATCAGATTTGTAGTGTGAAATATCACTGCTTAAAGTTGTACCTCCTCCACAATAAATATAAAATGTGAAATCCTGGCATTATTGAAGTTAATAATGACGCCAAGATTTCACTGGACGAGTAACTTGTTTCTATTCACTGACTTTTGAACAAAAACTTCAGAATTGCCAGAACATTTTAAAGTGAACAAACAATTTCACTTTATATCAGCTATTTCTCCCTGGAAGGTTCAGTACTTCACGTAAGTAACCTAACAAGTTCCCTAGTGATACTAATCAGAGAGAGAGAAGTTGATCTTAAAATTAATTCTATGTAACAGGGAACATTAAAGCAGCTTTGGATAAGATTTTCTTTTGAAGTCTTCAGTTCAAGATTGAATACCTTTCTGAAAGATACATTTTAGCTAATCACTAGTTATTGGACACTTTAAAGGGATAACAATGAAATTCTATGGCCTGTGTTTTACGGGAAGTCAGACTAGATGATCTAATGATCCCTTTTGGCCTTAAAAATCTATGAACTTTTAAAGACTTTTTTTCTTTATAACCCGACAATCATCATTTTTACTTCATTAATGATCAACTAAAGCACACTACTCTGAAAATCATCATGACCTCTTTATTTGGGTTTTATCATATGTGCATGAGATCAGTATCAACTTATCTAAACTGGTAAAGCAAGATTCCTTTACAGGCCAGGTAACAAGATATGATTTAGGTTTTGTTAAAAGAGAAAACCCAATATTGGAAATTATTTTCCAATGACATTCTCCTCATCCTGCCAATTTTCAGGATGTTTCTTCAGTCAGACATAAAAGTGTGCCCCTAAAGTGTTAGGAACCTAAACATTAGAACATGAAAGGTGAGAAAAAGAAAGTGAAACTGGTTTAGGGTGACCATATGTCCCGTTCTGGCCAGGACAGTCCCTTTTTTAAGACCTATCCCGGCTGGCCTGACTTTTTTGGCAAAAGTGGGCATTTGTCCCATTTGCCCTTGCTAACTGATGATCAGTGGGCATGAGCAAACAGGATAAATGCCCAGTTTTGTCAAAAAAGTGGTGCAGGGGGATGAGCGGCAATGCGAGCTTTGCAGGGATGGGGAGAGAGAGGCAGGGCTCAGGCAGGGGTATGGCTCGAGCGAGCAGTGACACCAGTCCCAACCCCATGCGAGTGGCAGGCAGGGCTCAGTAATGATGCTAGCTGAGGGGTGCAGGCAAGTGGTTCGGATCAGCCCCACATGTGGGATGGGGGAAAGCGGGGGGGGGGGGGCTTGGGCTAGTACCATGCGGTGTCCCATTTTTCCATTGGAAATATGGACACTCTACACTGGCTAGAAAACAACTGAACAAGAATGAAGTGATTCATGTATTTGCATTTGCCAAAACTGAGTGAAGGGGAAAACACAAATAGTACAAAGTATAAACATAAATAGGGAAAGTTAGCTCAGCTGAATAATTCAATAGGTATAGTAACACAAGATTTTTAAAATTTACACACACACACACACACACACACACAAATCTGATCATTTTTAACCTTGTCAATGTACAGTTCCTATGACATCAGACAATTACTGATGAGCCAAGTATGTGCTTTTGACAACAACATATTGTAAGTAATACTAATTAAATTATGACAGTGGCACTGGAACACTTTTTTACAGTGGGGGCGCTGAAAGCCAGTGGTTCCCAAACTTTTTACTTCGCAAACTCCCCCCCCCCCTTACCCGTCCGCACTTCCTCTCCCCAGAGCTGGTGCAGGACCGGACCATGGCTCCGGGAGGGGGGGAGGGACACAAACAGAGGTAAGGGGGGTAATGAAGTAAAAAGTTTGAGGATCACTGGCTTTCAGCACAAGTTGTCACTTTAAACCCCAGATGCAAGATCAGTCATCCCTCTTGTTACTAGCTCTCCTGATGTTATCCCAAGCCTCAAGATGTTACTATTTATTTATATTACACAGATACATTTGGTGTGTTTCTTAAAGTGAGGGGAATCTCAGCATTTTCTTAAAGTAAGTTTCTAGCCCTTGAGGGTACAGATCAAAAAAAGCTTGAGGATTGACTCTCGTTTTTTGAGCACTCGGGGTGGCAAAACTGCATCCTGTTACAAAAAAAGGGCTTGAAGTTTGCTTCAGCTACAGTCTTTATAATAGAAACTGCTATATATTAAAAATCATACAGTTTTACTTTGACAAACGGAAAAAAAGATGTTGGCGAATCAAGTTATCAATTTGCTCCCCTCGAACCAGACAACAAATGGATGTGACCCAGGAGTATGGATCCAGTATAATTACTTAGCTTTAGAGACAGCCAAGTTTATTTGTAAAGCAGTAATCAGTGAAACCTCTTACCTCCCAGGTTTGGTGCTGTATTTCTGTAACCTTGCTTTGACTTCATCATATGTTAGGAATGCCATATACCCAGGGTGTGTCACAGCTAAGAAGTTCCAGTTCCTTAAGATTGAACCCCAAGGCTAAAAAGAATACAAATAATGAAATGATAAATCCAATTAGATAATTGTTAGAATAAAACTCAAGACTACTTGTGACAAAGACTGAAATTATTTCAGGCTATTTCACTTAAAATGTACATATCTGATTTAATATAGCTGTTTAAGGCGCTGATCCTTCAAAGACTTTCACATGTGCATAACTTTATGCATTGTGAGGAGTCCTTCAAAGTTCTTCAATGTGTCAAGTTAAGCACTTGTGTAAGATCTTTGGAGGATCAGTATCTCAAGGTTCACTGATAACATATGTAGTCCCAGTAAACTTATTAAGTGTTATGACTGATAGTAAGTGTTCACAGAATTGGGCCCCGAAATAGCATCAAAAGTCTCATGAAAGCTGCACAGTTTGTATGAATGCACAGCAAAGAAGCATGTTACAGCTTTATTTTTTCAAACAAGACCCTGCATTATTATACTAATAGACTAAGTCTAGTGGAGCACTGATTTTTGAACTGTCATCCTTTTTATTACTCTACACTTCTTGATCCTGTCAGTTGTCATACCAGTATTATGGCCAGGGAATGAGATGAACAGTGACAGTGTTACTTTCAGGGTATTGACGAATCATCATTGCCACTTCACTTGAGTCACAATTACTTCAAAAAGCTGGCACTGAAGCACACCTGACATGTCAGATTATAACCTCAATCAAAAGAAAACATCTTTTATTTCGGTATTTAAGGTACCAACATAAAAAAAGTGAGTGTTCAACAACCAACATTTTGAAAGACAATAGTGCCTCTCAGTGGCTAAAGGATTTGTGGCGGGGTTGGGGGTGCGCCTGTGTCAAGGAAGAGAATAGAAGAGGGAAATCAGGATGAGATAGTCTATCTTGAGACTGTTCAACTCTCTCTTATGCAAATTCCATTTACAGGTGACATTTTTTAGAAACATGCTGCTTGTGCTAGGAAAGTGGGGATAAAATGTGTCAGTTATGAAGGTTTTTGGAAGCCCCTCTCTGTCAGAGTAACAATTCTTCAGGAGAGCTCTCCAGTTCATGAGTCAAAACAGCTCTTAACCAAACCTAACCTCCTAACAATCTACAAGACACCGCAGGGCCAGAACAAAATATATTTCTCAGCTCACTGCCTTCCCTTTCCATAATTATAGTTAATATATAGAAATTAAAAGAGCAAAAAGGTCTGTGTGTCAGATTTGTAAGCAAAGCAGGAAAAATAGGATAGCTTTCGTATAAAGAGTAATTGTACATTACTCCAAAGTATACTAATTTATGGTATAGTTAGTAGGAGTATTCCTCTTAGAACCTCTTGTAATCAAACCCCCAAGCCAAGGTTTGGGTTTGTTTACTGTGATCCTAGGCACCCTTGTATTCACACCTGAAACACCGCTGCAGTATTTGTACAAAATATGCTTTGTGAGGTATTAGCTAGCATGTTACTCACACTGATATATCAATATCATTGTAAAATGCATGTATTAACCTTATATGTGAAGTTATGAATTCTCTCTGTACGATGTTACTGGAACATGTTTAAGACCTGACAGTCTAGCCTAGGTAAAGGTGATAAACACATCTGTCCTAGGTAAAGGAATGTGGGTTAACCTCAATTTACGTATTAACCATAAACAAAATTATGAAGCTAAACCTGCCTGAACTCGACAGATAGCGAATTAACATGGCTCCTTCACCCTAGAGAGACTCAGGAGACTGAATTCCCCAGGAGGCCTTCCTGACTTGTAAGACAAAGGCAATCCCTTAGGGAACAGAGAGAGACTCCTGTGACATCCTGTATCCCATGTTCACCATATTTATAAGGTTATGATATATTTTGTACAAAGTATGCCTTGTGAGGTGTGATGTGAAAACTCAATCTGCTGAATATTAGTATCCTGTTGAAATGTGTGTAACATCACTGCATATAAAATTATGAGATTTTGCTATATCATTACTGAAAAATGTAACTCCGGGTAACAGTTTTCAGAGACAAAGACACACTAGCAACCCCAGACAGGTTTCACCAAAATCGAGTGGGCTATCATTTCCTTAAGCAGCCATTCTTCAGCAATGGAGAGATGTTAAAAAGAAATTTACATTTCATCCCAGACATGGTTCGACTCTCAAGTACAAAGGGAACTGTTTATCTACACCCCAGCAGGGGTTAATCCTTAAAGAAAGGAGAGTATGAAAATAAGGGACAGTGACCGCCACATAACCCCTCTCCGTCTTCCATCTCTCTGCTTGTGACAATGACTCTCAAAGCACTGAGCAAAGGGGGGGGGGGGGGAAGAGGGGACAGTGGTCCCAGACTGGAAGGAGATGCAGCATGTGAAATGTATTGCAGCTGATGGTGAGATAACCCTTTTTTGCTTTTAAACCTATGAGCCTTGGTAAAGTTTAGGAATTAATTTGTGTTTATCCATTTGTTTCTTTTGTAAGCAATCCTGACTTATATGCATCTCTACCTGTAATAATGTAATATCTATCTTTCTATAATTAATAAACTTGTTTTAATGTTTTATCTAAACCAGTGTAGTTTGGTTGAAGTGTTTGGGAATCTCTACTTAGGCTGGTGCATAATCATTACCCAGTGTTGGAATGATGGACTTACTATGAGCTTATATGGTCCAAGAGGATACTGAGCAGTGCAAGATGCACATTTCTGGGGAACAAGGCTTGGATTGAAGAATATGTGGGTGTCGCCCTGTCTGGAATAGATGAATGGCTGGGACAGCATTCATGTAACATAGTTGGAAGTGATTTTACATGCTGGTGGCTGTATATGCGCAGGCCAGGAGTGGCTGTTCTGGCTGCAAAGCAGTGTAAAAGGCACCCCAGGCTATAGAATTAAGGGGACACTACTGTTCAATGTCTCAACTCCATCTTTATCCTTCACCTAGAAAATAAAGCAGGTGATTTGATCTTTGGCTCCTGGCCTGGCTGGACCGTAAAAAGCTGCAAAGGAGACGGTTGGTGAGAGAACCCATCTTGAACAAAGACAGTATCTTGCTAGACAAAGTTTTAGAGGCGTTTTCACTTTTATTTGCTTGTAACCATCTCTATTTTTATCTCTTTTACTTGGTATCACTTTATCCTTGCTCTTTTGTTGAACTTGTTTTATTTTTAGTATAGGCCAATTCAGTGCTGTGTTTGAAGGGAAGAGTGTATTTAATAAATTGTGATGTACTGACTCTAAGAGCAGCAAACTTTATATATTCTGTAAATGCACAGCAGAAGGGGCTGAGGATTGCAGAGAAATATCTCTGAGGGCTGGAATGCTGCAATTGTTACCTACTAGCAACATTTGGGCCGGGAGAGCCTCAAGAGGTTTGCTTGTGAGGAAGATAAACTGGAGGGGCAGGCAGCTGACAGTCTAATTGCCAGCAAAACTCATTCTTAATGAGGCAGAGAGGTAACACAATGCCCCCACAGCTCTTGGTATCCCCAGGAACCTTTTACAGTTACCAACCTGAAAACCAGTTCAGCTTCAACAAAAAGGTTTCAGAATTTTCTGCTGAACACAGAATAAGTTTTTGTTTGGAATAGAAACTTATTCAAACCAGGCAAAGTTTAGGTGTTTCAACTGAATTTTGCAATGAAATGTTTTGTTTAACTCAAACCCCAAACTCAAAAGCAAAGCTTGGAAGGTGCAAAACCATATAAGCCAAAGATTCACACAAATCCTTGAAATCCAAAATAGCTGAGTTTTACACTAGCTCTAGCAAAGGCACCAGTAAAAAAATAAATAAATAAAAAAAGTCTTGAAATATAATGATAAAAGATGCATTTTGGTTATTTCTGTAAGGGGAATGCTTTGATTGTGTTTTGAGACTCTGAGTTTGGCCTCAGAAGAGCTTAAACAGAGATGGGTTACACCTGAACAATTTTAACTTTGACTTTTATTGGTTCTGGCAATTGCACTTGGTGAAAGTAAGAGATGATAAAGAAACAAAAGCCCTGGATTCAACATACCCTACTATGATCCAACTTTTGCAAATGGTCCCTAGCCCTTTAATGGACTATACCAAATCCCCAGAAATGAATACGCCAGAATATTGTGGGCGTTCAAAAAAAAAAAAAAATCAGATCTGGATCCAGATTTCACAGTGAGCACATCTTTAACAAACAAAATAATTTTCACAAACAATTCATTAAATTGTCAATGTACACTTCAGACAAAGAAGAAAAACAGCCAATGCCTGAATAAGTGATAGACTTCATTTACCAGAATTGCATCCTAATAATTACTCCTATATACAATATATAGAGAGAGGCTAAAGTGAGCAACCCAGGCCCATATTTTTTGAGAGAAATCTAAATGCAGGAAAAAATGCATGAGTTGCCACAACTGCATCACAATTAGGGTAGCCATGTCCACAAACTATGCACATATTGTTTCATGGGTGTATCTTAAAATATAGGCTTTGATACCAAAAAACAAAAAATAAACAAAGTTAGTTCCACGGTCTAATGTTTGAGTCGTTCACTATTTTCCAACCATCTGACTTTTTTTGTCCATTTGGTGACTCACAGATCTAAGTTCTTCCATAATGCTGAAAATTTTAAGAATCTTACCTGAAATAGTCTAGTGAAGATATCAAATTCAAAAATTGAAATGTAGTCATTGCAGGTCAAGTCAATGGTAGACTTCAGAGCCATTGCTTCCAAACCGGAGCTTATCTGATGAATCTCATGAAGGCACTGCCGGAACACTTTCCATGGCACTATAGTTCTGTGAGGGGGAGAGAAACGATTTAATAAGATGCCATATTGAAGAAATTTTCTTATTTAGACAGCACAACTCAAGCCTGACATTAATTTAATTATGTTTGATTTTGCTACAAAAACTAAAGCTCAGTTTTCTGCAAGGATTCAATCAAATGCTAGTACATCTTATTTTCCATTAAATGGATGTTGTTAAACTCCCTTTTATTTTATTATGCAAAATATTCAAGCCAAATTATTTCCCAAAATGGTGTGGTGGTGAGTTTTTTGTTAGTTTGTTTTTACTGTAAGTGAATTTTGTGCACGGGAAAGTTGATGGAGTCTCTGGTTCCAAGATTAAAATCCTCTATTTATCCACAGAACAGGTACAGCAAACCACCCCACATGATCCCAATCTTGACTTGAAGGAAACACCTCTGAGATGGATGGGAAGTTCTGTCTTCATGGTCTTTGGCCTCTGTTCAGACTAACAAGTATGCTACTTAGTGCCTACCGTGATTGCAGTTTTTGTGATTAAGGCTCATTTATACCAGTTCAATTTGTACAGGCCAACAACCTTCAGATAACTGCTATGACACCACTACACAAGGCTGAGTTCACATCAGCAACCTAAGGAAGGGAAAGGCTCTTTAAGACACTGCCAAAGAGTGTGGCTTGCTCTATTTGACTATATGGCTGTTCTCCCGACCCCCTCCCAAAGAAATTGCTTTTAGAAATAAGAACATTGTTACAGAATGAGTAGTAGTGACAAACAAAGGAAAAACTGCAGGATGACAGCAATGGTAACGGGTTATAACAGTTACATGGATATTAGAGTGCAGCTCTTACCATGTCTATATCTGCACAAATTTGAAAGCTCTTCCAATAAATAATCCAAACTACTTTTCTGAATCCAATTTAGTAGCTAACTTTGAAGCAACTTTTGAGACTTTATTCAATAAATGATTTTATTCAATGTTTGAGACTTTATTCTCTTTTCTCCTGACTAGAAACAAGGTCTACCTGAGCATTTAAGGAAGGGATTTAGTACTTGAGGACTCAACAGTTCAAGATGCTACTAGGCTGAGAGCCTGCTACTGGGGGTGGGGGGAAATCCTGCTTCCCTTCTGAAGAATGCAACAAGGGCTGGGGGAAGGCACCTCTCAGCCCAAAGTCCTAGCAGCATGGAGAAAAAGAAGAAGCCTGTTGATGCAAACGAATTCAACATAGGATGAATAGGTGCTACCATTAATGAGGAAGGGCAGCTGAAATGTACTGAAGGCCTCATTCAGCTAGACAGAGGCCGGCTGAGTGCTTTGAGTTGTCAAGCATTAACAGGGAATGAGTCCCTTATCCCTGTGCCACTGGCAGAACCTGCCCCTACTTTTATTTGTAGCTCTGGAGCAGAGCGTGGCAGGCATGGAAAGAGCAATTCAGAACGAAGACATACTAAACTGATCCTCTCTAGCAGAGTCACATTTTGTTCACCTCAGGTCCTCTCCCCATCCTTCTGTATCCCATGTCCCTTTTAACTCATCTGCTGCACAAACTGGCAGGTTCTTCTGCCAACCATTGTCAATGAAGATGGTGAGATCTGGGACCCCACGCGATGCCCATCACGTGGAGGAACCCTTTACAAACCATGGCAGACCACCCATCAACAACTGCTGCTGCTTCTTCTTCACCCAGACATCATTATAAAGGTTACTATCTAAATTCTGCACGGCATTAAACCCCTCCCTGCAAGGTGGACTGACTGACCTCAATGCCCCGTAGGAGTAGAGAATAGCCTACTTTACAGGATCACATTCTCGGTGATCTGTAGTTATTTGCAAGACTTTAAAATGTGTAAGATTTTGTGTTTTTAAAGCCAGTTTGTGTGTCTGTGGATGCTAAAAAACAGTCTAAAGAGCCAAAAATACAACCCTCACACATGCTACAGATGCCTCATGGGCTTCTGCTGTTGACACTAACTTTAGAAAAAACCCCACAACATTTTTATTCCACAAACATTTTCACATCTCCTTTTTACATGTACAAAGTAATTCAGATTACTTAGTAATATGGAGTTATAAAAGAAAATGATAGTTATATCTGACTGTTCCACACTAAGTAAATACTTGCCAATTCACCTAACTTTAAAAAAAAGAGCTTTCAGCTAAAAGCAGAACGCTGAGGACTTGCGTTCATATTTCTGCTGCAGGGAAAAATCCTAATCTGGCCTTTACTGTATTCATAAAAGCCTTTAGACCTGGAAATCTAAATGTCATTTTGAAGCTTGTATTGAGAAAATCATAAATGATAATATATGATGAAGCCGAATAGATCTCCGCAGATATGTTCGTCTGTGTATGAAAAACAGGAAACCACAAAGAACTGAAGAGAGATACCACATCAGATGCCATTTAAAAAAGAATGCACATCAAATTTTGATCACGGTAAAGAAAGAACAAAATGTTGCACTGACTTTAAAGTACAAAGATAGAAAACCTCTGTGCATCCGTGGTGTTAAAAACTACAGTTATATATGAATTTAGGTATCACAATTACAGGAATTAAACAGGTAATCATAAATTAGACTTCCTCTTTGATTCTCTCATTAAACTTTCTGAATGGTGACAGCATCAAGATCACAGTACTAGAATAGCAAGGGTTAGAAGAGGAAATCCAAACTCTTAAAGCTAAAATTAATCTCATATGCAAGTGTAATCTCAATACAATGCAAGCAAAAACGAGTGATGTGACAGGATTGTCAGAACTCCCTCTTGGTTCTCCACCTGCTATAGTTTCATGAAGAAATTATTGGATGTGACCAATACACAGGACCTACCATCCTCTATTCACTTAATGTTATTACCCCTCACCTGATTAAAAAAATAATATAGATACAAAACTTCAAGGTCAGACACCTTAATGCACAATTCAGCCCATCTGCAACTCAGCCTATGACAGACATGTTCACAGTTGAGAGATTAAACCAGTGAAATAACATCTGAAGTTTATCACGATAATCTTCCAGGACAGGTGTTTAAAAAAAAAAAAAGGGTGTTCCTCATCTATAGTCCACTGAAATCCATCTGAGCCCTCCCAGTTATTTCAGTGAGTTTTGGATCTAGCCTGTTGTGCCTTGACCATCATTTACTGTCCCCAGGAGAGCTGAGAACTGTTTGTTGTTGAAACACTCATTTCTGCTTCTGATAAAGTCACTCTGTAGCTTTTGGCACTAACCAGCTTGGGACCAGCCTACCTGAGGGACTGCCTCTCTCCCGGCGCCATTCCGACAGCTGTGGTCAAGAGAAGTCCTTGAGCAGGAGGCCGCCTTTCATAGAAAAGAGGGAGTTTGCTAGCAGGGTGTTCTCTGTGAGGTCTCTAGGACTATGTAACTTGTTCCTCCCCCATCTATCCTCCCCCTTTGTCAAATTCAGGCTACTTTGGACTAATCTCCCAGGCACACTGCAAAAGGTGTGGGTAGGAGTATTTAGAAAAAGCTGAGAGTAAACTTCCCACAACAGTAAAGTGGTAGAAAAGAGCTTTGGTAGGTGGCTGTCAGATTGAGTTCCTGTTTGAATGATAATTTTAATGCTGTTGTGATTTCTGGTGTATTATTACAAGTTAGGGATCTACAGTTTTGTACAGGTGTCTTTATTATTTAAATCCAAACACATTACTTCAGATGCTGCTTATAAAATGAATGCTGAGATAAGGATTTATAGAGAACAGTATGTTTGTCAAGCCTACTAAATAATGTTAGAGAAAGCTTGTTTCCTTTACAATAAAAGAAGACAGGATCTGGTTTACAATCAAATGCAATCTGCCTCTTTTCCATCTTGAATTGTACAAAGTATTTACAGCTAATGGTTTCCAGGCTCTTTGTCCTTGTTTTGTTTGTTGCTTCATGCCACTAATGATGCCCAGCATTAGATGTTGGCAGGTATTTCTGCACATGCCTGATGAGATTAGGCAGATCAGTGGGAACTTGTCTGGAGAAGGAGGGGTTACGCACCTCTGCTGTGTTCATCAGGAAGATGCAATATGACACCCCCTACCATGTTAGGCTTTCTGTATAATTAGGATGAATAAGTGCATTGTCTTATATTTAATAACTATATAAGCTGTCATCGGCTGTATGATGTACTGTTACTGAGGCATTATTCTGGGGAGTATTTCATATTCGGAATACTAAAAAAGATAGCTATCCTCACTATAAATTCACTCAAACTGTTTGCTGCCCAAAAAACGGCTTTTCTCTTTTTTAAACGTATGTTCAGCAACAGTTTGTCTCTTTTCTGATGTCTTCTAGGAAGCAGTACTAATTTCAGAAAGTATCAGGCTGTATGTTTTAGTTTGTTTTCATAAACATGTATTATATGTGCTATTTTATGATGCTCTTGGACGTGCTGTTGTACAATTAATTAAAATCAGAGAGAAAATATATAAAAGGAATAAATATGTGAAGTGGCTTGAAACGTACACCTGAATTAAAACACTAGGGAGCTAAGGACAACCATCTGTTATGTATTTAGGTGTGTTTTATTTATTTGAGACAGAACTTTTCTAAATCGAAAGAATTTAAAGCTCACTTAGGGCCTGATCCAACTCACACTGAAATCAGTGGGAGTCTCTGCACCCTTTCAATTGCAGTCAAAGCGTACCTATGCTGGTTTAACAACAACAAAATGGTCCTCTTTAAAGCTTCAGGAAGCTTGTTTGAGACCCTAATGCAGAAAAAGTTTCTCATATACACCTAAACACTGTCTCTTGCTGCAGACCTGACTGTATCTGGATAATCACCTCTGGTCTTCCTCTCATCTGAGGCGCCCACCAGAAGAACACATTCCCAGTGGAGACTGCCTTTCTATTTTCTCTGATAGAGTGACAGTAGTAACTGTATTTATAACAAATTGGTGGCATGAGGTCTGTTCTGGGCAGAGTAAAAGTTTTGTTTTAGACATCTTATTGAAACTGCTTTTTATATAAGCATTTGCCCCAAGGGTAGGGTTAGCCAAGCTTCCTCCAAGCCATTTGAAG